ATGTGTATTCCCTGTGACAAAACCTTTCTTTGGGTACCACCATAATTGACCTTTGAACCTTAACCTTGGAGTTTGGCCCTTTTTTACACAAAACTTTTTAATTTTTACATTGGTCATAACTCTTGAACGGTAGATACTAGGACTTTATATTTCATATGTGTATTTTTGGGGGTGTTTCTAAAACGCGGAACGGAAAACGGAACGGAAAGCGGAACGGAACGGAAAACGAAATATATTAATTTAGATTAAATCACTAAAAATATACAAATATTATCATAAACGATATATACAGTAAAATTTTTCTAATCCGGACTCTGAGTACTCCGGATTTTTGTCCATTCCGTCTTTAAATTTTAGTCCCATGCACTTCTTTAACAAATTCATTAGAAAAAATTCTGTGTACTCCGGATACTGTCAATTCTGTATTCCGAACGGCCATACCGGTCCCAACTGCTCATAATTAATAGTAATTATTTCCTCTAATCCGGCCAAACCTGAGTTACTTCAAAGCAATTAACACCTTTCGTGGTGGATGTGATAATAACAGTGCCATGAGACGAACTCAGTGAAATGCGGTGGTAACACAGTCCAGATGAAAAAAAAATATTACTAGTATATGATAGAATTACAATTTTAAAAAAACTAATTTTGTTTTAAGTCCTTTTACCTCATTATACCATAAATACAAAAAAATATATGTACGCGAACAAAATATAAATCGGGATCGAAAATCGAACGCATTTCAAAATGGTGCCATAGCACTGTTGGGGAAGACGTAATTTTTTACATAAAAATTAAAAGTTCAATCCAATATTTAGTATATCGTCAATAATTGTGCATTATTATATAGCTAATAAATAGTCTCTAATAAAATACTACCAAAAATCTAGAAAATTTTAGCGTTGAATATCTTGACGTTTTATTGAACGCTAACTTTGCATTACGTATATGAGTATGCCCGAAACATTCCGAATATAATAATAATAATATAAGACGTAATTTTTTACATAAAAATTAAAAGTTCAATCCAATATTTAGTATATCGTCAATAATTGTGCATTACTGTTTTTACATTGAATGAGCTCTTTGACAAATGAAACCCAGTCCGCTTGATATATAGTAGGCCTATATTATGCGTGCCTGTAGAGTTTGATTTCGGTAACATTTCACCCGACTTTCAATTTTCGTGAACAAACAAGAAAAAACAGTTAGTAAAATGAGACTATTTTATAGTTCCAGACTCCAAAATATTGATTGATTTCATCATATTATTATATTATATATTATGTATATGATGTACTTGTAAATAAACAACGAAATTTTCAAAATTAATATTTTCCTGCATTTTTCCTGCACTAGGATTCTGTCTAAACCGGCCAAATTTTATGGAACCGGCGGTAGCGGTTTGGACAAATTATACTGTAATATACATATTGAATCCCTATTGTTAAAATACAAGCTGAGTTAGTCATGTTTAGTCTCTTATTCACGAAAATTATTGATTATAGCAGTGACTTAGAATCGTAAAGAAACTGAAAAATGACATTAGATACTCCCCTTAGAAAATGAAGATCCCTTTTAAATTGGCAGGAAGTTATACGACCTCAGAACATTAACTGGCAGAGTTGGAAATATGCAGGCCAATAATCAGCTTATTGTCCCCCGCTTTCGCGACATGTAAATCTCATTTGTCTGTCTGTCAGTCGGTCTGTCTGCCCGTCCGTCACGAAAACTTTAACCTTGCCCATAACTTTTGGTTTAGCAGACCTATGACTTTCAAATGTCACATGTGTATTCCCTGTGACAACACCTTTCTTTTGGGTACCACCGATATTGACCTATTAACCTTGACTTTGGAGTTTGACCCATTTTTACACAATTTTTTTTAATTTTTACTTTGGTCATAACCTTTGAACGGTAGATACTGGGACTTTTATATTTCATATGTGTATTTATTGTGGTAAGGCCTTTCATTGGATATCAGCAACTTTGACTTTTTTACCTTGACCTTGGAGATTTCTGTCCTTATGAAAAAACTTTATGCTTGGCCATAACTTTTGAACGGTAAGGATTAAGGCTTTCATACTTCACATATGTAATCCTTGTGTGTATTCTTTTCATTGGATAACAAGACCTTCTGACCTTGACCTTGAGGTTTGGCCTACTTTTTAAAAACTTTTACCTTGGCCATCACTTTTGAAGGGTTAGGCCTAGGGCTTTCATATTTCACATATTTATTCCTAGTGACAAGATCTTTCATTAGATATCAAGCACTTACATGTAGACCCTTTGACTTTAACCTTGCAGTTTGACCTACTTTTTTAAACATTTTACATTGGCCATCACTTTTGAATGGTAAGGGCCAGGGCTTTCATTCTTCACATATTTATTCCTTGTGACAAGAACTTTCATTGGATAACAAGATTTTTGACCTTCTAACCTTGACCTTTGAGTTTGACCTACTATACAAAAAAACATGACCATAGCTTATGAAGGGTTAAGGCTTTTATAATTTATATATTTATTCCTTGTGACAATGCCTTTCATTGGATATCAACAACTTTGACCCTATGACTTTGATGTTTGACCTACTTTACAAAAACTTGATTATTGGCTATAACTTTTGAATGGTAGGGACTAGGGCTTTCATACTTCACAAAATTTCAGAATTTTTCAAAATACTACGCCTCCTACCTACAGTTTTGGTCTGATTTCAATATAACTTGGCACACAAGTAGACTACATTAAGATACCGGTACATGATTCTGTGTATCTGTTTTTGATTTCAATGAACGGTGATTCCGTGGTTACTAAAAATAGAAATTTTTTGAAATACTTTCAAAATACATGTACTACTCCGTGTACAGTTTTGGTTTGATTTCAATATAACTTTGCACACAAGGAAATTACACTATTAGATACATACTTCTGTATATCGGATTTTGATTTCAATGAACGATATTGCCGTGGTTACTAAAAATAAATATTTCTATGAAATACTCTTAAAATGGTACTCCTCCTACAGGTTTGGTTTGATTTCAATATAACATGTCATACAAGTAGATTACCTACACTAAGATGCATAATTCACTTTATCGGTTTTTATTTTGAATAAACAGTGTTGTTTTGGTTGCTAAAAATAGAAATTTCTGTGAAATACTTTTTACATGCTACTCCAATTACAGTTTAAGTCAGATGATAATATAATTTGGCGAGCAAGTAGTAGACTATACTGGATACATAATTATCAGTTTTGTATTTTTGATTTCGAAGAAACCCTGTGATTGCATTGTAATCTAAAATTGAAAATTATTTTTAAAAAATCTAGAAATCTACTCCTACAGTTGTACATGTAGTCTTATTGCAACCTTGCCACAAAAAAAGACTTAATCAAGGATCATTATTCTGTTTATTGCTGTTGTAAAGTTTTATGTCCCAACTGTCACTTTTTTCTTCCTTTATTATAAGTACAAACCAGTAAAGCTACAGTCTCGACAGACTTCTGATTAAAATTTGGGTATCAATATATTGAATTTACATTCTAAGACAGATAAATATTTGCTTTGTTTCCATGCGTGGTCATCAGTGTTTCCCAAACACAACTTGTTCCTTTTGACTTTTGATTGAGAAGAGATAGGGCTTTCATATTTGACATGTGCATTAACTATAAGATATTCCCGAGCATACTATGATTTCTGACTCCTTGACCTTGACCTTCACGATTGACGATATTTTTTTTAAATCAAATTTAGTGATTTCTAAATGACATATGATAGGGCGCCCATATTTGACATCTCACCCACAAAAACATGGAAAGCGGGGGGCCACAATTGTTGTAATTTGCTTGTCAAACTAGAAATACAATGTAGATATATATGGAGACCTGAACATACATGTGTAAAATCTGACAAACAAAATGTGTCAACCCCTCTCCTTTTCTAATGACTGTCATCATTATCTAAAGCTACAGTCTACAGTTCACTCATAAATCTCTCCAGGAAGAAGCTTAACAACCCCTACCCACCTCCAACCCCACTTTGCCCACCCCAATAACAATATTTTTTTTTCATATTTGAGAATAGAAATCATATTAATATTTCTTCTTTGTCAAAATATTTCTAAAATAGAATTTTTGACTTTAGTTTATCCACCAACTGCTAAAAGTTCCTTGATCTGAGCCTGTAATCAATACTGGTTTTATAAGTATTTCAAAACGCTACTTATGATTGTTTGATCGATTGATCGTATATTGTTTAGCGTCCCTCTCGAGATTTTTTCACTCATATGGAGACGCCACCGCTTGCCGGTGGAGAGCTGCAACTTTTGTTCTGTACTCGGCACTCAGAATCATTGAGCAGGAAAGATCTTAAGTTTTTCGTTCCAACGCCTACTGTGACACGGGACCTCTGTTTCACAGGGGCCGGTAACATACTGTATTTGATTTTACGTAATCACTATTTGCATACATATATAGTGATTACATAAAATCAAATACAGTATGTTACCGACCCCTGTGCTCTGTTTATAGGGTCTGATCCGAAGGACCGGTCTCCACATCCTACAGTGAGATTCATACCCGCGGCGTAAGAATGAAGTGGATATGGGTTTTACTTAGTCATAAGCTTTATAAAAGAAATTAATTATTTTAAAAAACGATCTATAGACTCGCTTTCCAAGGAAACATTCTTGACATAAAGAATGAATAGGGGATTATATGAACTAGAAAATGTAGGTTTTTTTTAACGTTTTGATACTAATAGCGCTAAAGCAATGCAAAATTTCTAGTATCAAAATTAATGTCATTGAAATATTTTATACGCTAAATGATAATTATATATAACATGAAACTTAATTATTCTATCGGTGAAATCCAATCCTTGTTACTGTACAGTTCAAGAGATATTTAAAAGAATACTTGTAAGGCTTGGCAATTAAGCTATTTTAAAGAATACATGTTAGTTAAATACAACTAGTTTCTGTTTTTCTGTATAGACGCTCACCTGATATCTTTGTTTTCCAAACCCTGTAATCGCCCACAAAGTGAGAGAGATCTACAAGGAAATAATATCGCAATTAATTTTTTAAAAGATATTATACTATAAAGACATTCAATGGTCCTATTTTCACTTGAAGCATTCATAATTGAAAAATCATTTTACTTATACCACTTCAACGGATCTCTATTATCATGATTATAAAATGTTTAAATCTGTCAATGTGATGGCAAACAGGATTTTCTGACATGTACACAGTAATTGTATTTTGAACACATTTAGACGACTTTTTCATTTGCAAGAGTTATCTCAAATCCTCAGCGATATATCAATTTTTCTTATTCTTCCTATACATTATTTAAACAATAAAATGCTTTCTTTGTTTGTTATTACTGGAATTAACGGAAGCAGCTGTTGCAGAAAAAATGCATATGTATTTTTTTTTCTGCAATAGCTGCGACCGTTAATTCCAGTAATAACAAACAAAGAAAGCATTTTATTATTTATATCTGTATCTGTTTAAATAATCACTTAAAGTAGGATTAAAAAGATTAATTATTGTATTAATGATTCGAACTTCTTTATACGTTTCAATGATGGAACAGCCACTGATCAAGATACCTGTACAGGCAACATACAGGCAACATAGTTCATGCAGTGATTAACGCAATGGGGTTTCTTAAGAAATAAAGGAGAAAATATTCAACGGATGTAAATATTTATATATTTAAACCTTCTGAAGGTCTAATATATTATACTTTTACTGGTAGAGTATGGTAGAGATGGAACAACAAAAAACAGCATATAAACATACACACATTCATTTAAATTGTATTTATCAGACACTGTCCTCAAAGTGCCTTTTGAATCTTTGACTGCTATCGTGACTCGATCATCAAAATGGACAATTACTCTGGAATGGATAATGTGAAAAACAATTTTTATTGTTAAAAAATTCATTCTGAAAACAGTTGGAGGTGTAGAACGGTACACGGTAAAGTGTATCTACATTTACTGCCCACAATGTCGTCTGTTGGTTTGAAGCCGACTGAAACGTTGCAAAGTCATGTACATAGTGTATTGTCTGTTTGTATTTGTTTTATTTGTAGTTTAAGCCCCCCTCGAGAATTCTTCCTCATATGGAAAAGCAACCTCTTGCCGGTGGGGAGCTGCTAATTTTGTCTAAATTCGGCACTCATGGCCCCACAGATGTATTATTTTGCTTGTAGAATGAATCGGAACACCCCCCCCCCCGGTGTTCTGGTATCCACCACTGAGAACATGATCTATACTCACTCTTTCATCCCTGATGTTTTCGAGGTTCGTCATCCTCTGTAATGTTTAACGAACGTTTCATATCGAATGTAGTTCGTTATTTCCACATATTTTATCTGAATAAAACGGAATTTTCTATTTATAATGACGTTTTCACATAAGTTTTAACTTTTCTGACACAATGGCTTTTGAAAAAAAAATATTTCAATGATGTCGATTATTTTTCAATAATCCTTAACTACTTATATTGAAAGAATGTATAAACCTTCACATGATCTAACTTGAATTCCCTTTTTTTCACGAATTAGTTATGTTACTTTTATGGCATGATAGGCTTCATATTGGAACCAATAGTTCTTAAGATGGAACTGAAAATGTGAAAATTCTTTCTCGATCTTAGTAAATATTTTTCAACACAGCTTTTCAAGTCCAAAATAATGAGTAAATGTTCACGGGATATTGTCGCCAACTACCAAATGAGCCAAACTTTGTCTGAACATGCTGTCGTCGATTACGTAGGAGGAAGAGTGGCTCGACTTGGTGCACATTGTCCCTGGCGGCAATACTTGTATGTATGTGTAGTAAATGAAGAGACTTACATGTATTATCACTGTCTGCAGTATGGATAAAACGACATGTGTATACCATTATGCAACTAGCGGGTACTGTTTTTTTTTTTTTACAAAAAAAATAACCACATGTCTCCCCTTCTTTACCAACATTTAGAAGTGCAGTTTTATGATCAAGGTGGTCAAAAATAATAATGTACTGCATCTTTCAAGTTTTCAAATTAAAAGGATCTAAATTTATGGTCTAGTATTGTTTTTTCTCAATCTAATCTTAAATGGGGAAATTTTTCAAGGTTAAATAATTTGATATAGTATATTTATAATGGCTTTACTTGTACATAGGACCAAGTTTCAAATCCTAATGTCAAGAAAGGTCTCAAGTTATGTCTTGGGATATATTTTCATGTGAAAGTTTGACCTTAATAATTGGATCAATCTTTCTACGACTCGCTTATAAGTCGGACACTGAGTTTTGTACCAACATTAAACTCCCAAAACACCGACTTTTTGGCGCATATTAATGGTACTTCTCTATTTGCTACAAGCGTATCCAATTCTTTGTTTTATTTTTATTACTAACAGACTTATTTGCTTAGATGCAAGTACATGCATTGGTCATGTTAAACTTTGTTAGTAGCTTATTTGTTCGGAGGATAGCATATCCTCAAATAACACTTTGATTTACATGTACTATAATAAAAACTTTTGAACTTTGATTCACTATAACGTAAAATTTGAATATTTGACTTACAATGGTTGTAAAAACTTTGGAACTTTTATTTACTATAGAACTTTGATTTACTATAGAGAAACCTTTGGAACTTTGATTTACTATATTTAAAACTTTGGAACTTTGATGCAATTATGTTTTTGATTCTCGTTCTCTAAATTTTATAATAATGATTACAAATTTAAGATTTATAAAAGAATTTAAAAAAAAACAACAAAGAATCATCACGTACAAGAATTATATATAAAATATTATTATTAATGTAAATGTGATTTTTTGTATCGATAGATGAGCAATATTTTTTTTTAACTATTAGAAATTTAATATTATGAAGATGTAAATTTAGTTTCATATATCAAGGGAAAAAATATACTACAAAAAAGTTTTGCGTCATTTAAAACTAAAAAAAAATGTCTCATCAACTTCAGTCACATGGATTTTTTCATCTTATAAATGTAAATACATGTATTTCATTTTGATAAACTACGTTTAGAAGTATATTTAAATAAAAATTTACTACAAAAACCAGCCACAAACAATCCAACATCGACCCCTTAAAACAGCTAAAAAATAATTTAAAAAACGATAACTACATGTGAGACTGATTAAAAAATCTTTGAAACGTTGATAAAGTATAGTAAAATCTTTGAGAATGTGATTTACAGTAGTTATTGTAAAAAAAATTGAAAAATTTGTTTAAATATAGTAAACAATTGAACCTTTGATTAACTATCGTAAAAACTTCGGAACTTTAATTTACTATGGCTAACTAAAATAAACTATAGTTTACTATAATCATAGTTTATTATTGTATTTTTTGTTAGGGACTAAAGAATTTTGCAAGTCCTTAAAAAATCCTGCTAAAAATAACTATAAATATTTAATTAAAAAAAGGAAAACAAAACTAGTTCCTATGACAAATGTACGGTATCTGTATTTTTACCTCTTGTTCTCATGCTTTGTATCCAAAAATTTTCAGAATCACCAAAAATATCGCTGTCATCATCTTGTATGACAAAATCCTTGTTATCCGCTGGATCTTCACTATCCGCTGGATCTCCATTGACGACCGTTTTTGGTATCTCTGTAGTTCCTGAAATAGAATGTTTTTATCCATTTTATCTCGAAAGAACTTCGTTTTTTAAAATTACATTTTAGATAAATATGAAGTACTTTACTTAAGCCATATGATGATTTAATAACAAGGACATCCTTTTGTATTTTATTTACAAGTCTTCCTACCTATCATCAGTAGTAGAAATATTAAACGGAACGCTTCATTTTTGAAGTTGTACAAAAAGAGGCAAATTTTAAATAAATATGACATTGTTTAGGTGAATTCCTTCTCCTGTTGCCAGCAGTGAATGTTCTCTTTCAGGACACTAGAAATACAATGACAAGTCAAGATCTTCAGCAGTATCCACAAGGGATTCGCGTTCTTGTGTATCATTAACTCTCGATCCTAGTTAATAAGTGGCATATTAATTAGTGGCAAGTTAGTTAAACAATTTTTACTTAAGAAAAAGGCACGCTTTGGACTTTATTTGGGATTTTTTAGAATTCACTTGCATGGTAAGTATTGTACAGTAACCCCACAATAATATTAAGGTTCCTGACCAAAGGGCCAAAGTATTCCCAATTTCAAAAGAGACACCCCTGCTTATCATAACCATGCACATGGTATGTTTCCTGAATAAAAATAACAATAGAAGATTTTCTAAGTTATTATGCATTTATATTATATGTGTTTTCAAAAAAACATAACCCTTATGCCCCAATTCATAATCCAGAGTTATGATTTTTTTTAATTTCCTTGCTCATTACCTTGCAATTAGGTTTTTACTGTTCAATAACAATACGGAACAGAGATGAAGATGCATTTAAACTTATCGTCTATAAAGTTTATTATCGTCTATAAAGTAAATAAACTACATTAGCCCATTACCATTGGGTCAAGATATTCACAATTTTGGAAGAGGCGCCCTTGCTGTCATAACAATATACTTGGTTTGTCTGCTAAATACCTAGAGCAGAAAAAAGTTTTTCAAAGGAATAATACGCTTTCACTTTTACATCATCACTAGATCTCCCCTCCCGCACAACACCTCACCCTGGGCCATAAATTTTCTATTTTTGTCCCTCGTCGTGCATTAAGATTTGAAAATGTTCAGCTTCTCTGCAACCACTCAACCGATTTCAGAATAAAGCATCTATGGGTGAAGAGGAACCAAAAAAATGTAAATGTCATGGTCCAAGCCTCCACCTTGGGGCCAGAGGGGTGGAGTCAAAACCACTTAAATTAATGCAGTACTTCAAAATATTTTTTTCCTGTACACCAAGCAGTAAAACGGATTGCATAATTGTAATTAGCATCAAGTCCTCAACCACAATTGCAAAATTCATGCCCCCTCGGTCAGGGGTTCTAGTGCTAAGGGGGGGGGGGCTTAATAAATTATTTCGTGAAAATGTATTTTTTCTTTTAAAACATTCTTCTCTGCTCCTAGGTATTAAATGAACTAACCAAAAACATAGTTATATAAGGCTGCCTATTCCATAGCTGTAAATCCCGTGGTACCAGGTCAGTGGTTCTAGTGTTAGGGCGGGGCTATATATCTTATAAAGTGAAATAGATTATTTCTTTGAAAATCTTCTCTGCCCCTGGGTATTTAACAAGAGGCCCATGGGCCTTAAAGATCACCTGAGCATTATGCTACAACTTTCAAGTTATTAAATTTGATTCATGTTTTAAGCCAGATGCTTTGGCATTCACAATTTTGAAAGAGGCATCATTGATCATCACGTAGCAGTTGCTTAGCGTGGTTATACTTATATTAATACCCACAGGAAGGGTAGGGGAATAAAAAATGCATTTCAACTAATCAGTAATATTCAGCAATAATCAATAGTTCCCTTACCACACATGAACCCATGAGTCTTAGGCCTAGATCCACACATTGCAGAATTTTTGAAAAGGCAACCCTGCTTTCAAAAATAAATTTAGTAATACCAAGGAGCAGATATCAAACAATTCATTCATTTTCAGTATATAAGTACAGCCCCCCCCCTCTATGGTACCCCTGACCCTAAAGCCTTGCAATTCACTATTCTGCAAGATTAGCGCCCTTGCTCATCATAACTACACTGTATATAGGCAGTTCACCTGCTTCATACGCAGAGAAAGAGAAGAAAATTTTCAAAGATTTCATGTATTTTCACTATATAATCTACGAGTATAGAGCCCCGCCCTAAACACCAGTACCCAACAATTTTGGAAGACGCACTCTTGCGCATCATAACTACATGTACGTACTTAGTTAGTTGATTTAATACCTAGGAGCAGAGAAGAAATTTTTCAAAAATTCATGTTTTTTTTACTCTAAAATCAAAAGAGCCCTGCGCTAACATCAGATCCTCTGATCGCGGGGTCATAAAATTCACAATTTTGGTAGAGGCACTTTTGCTCATCATAACTATGCACTTAGTTGGTTTATTTAAAACCGATAGGAGCGGAGAAGAAGATTTTCAAAGAATTCATGTATCTTCACTATATAATCTATAGAGCTCCGCCCTAACACCAGAACCCCTGACCCTGGGGTCATAAATTTCACAATTTTGGTAGAGGCACTCTTGCTCATCTTAACCATACACTTACTTAGTTTATTTAACTCCTAGGAGCAGAGAAGAAGATTTTCAAAGAATTTATGTATTTTCACCATAGAATCAAGAGAGCCCCGCCCTAGCAATAGAGTCCCTGTCCCTGGGGTCATAAAATTCACAATTTTGGTAGAAGCGCTCTTGCTTATCATAACTATGTACTTAGTTTATCTAAAACCCAGGAGTAGCGAAGATTTTCAAAAAAAATAATGTATTTTTAATATATACTTATTTACCCATGCCCTAGTACTAGAACCCCTGACTCCAAGGCCATGAATTTCATAATTCTTTTAGAGGACTCAATGCTGATACATATTTATGATGAAGCAATGTGCCTCTTCTAAAATGGTTTATTTCAGGGCCCCTGGGTCAGCGGTTTTTGGGTGTACATAGTCTGAAAATGTATTAATGCCTTGAAATCTGCTCTTTGTTATCAATTAACCATTAATTAAAATATAAAATTTATATTAAATTTTCCAAAATTTTCAAATATGTTGCTACTGTTGGGTGATACACACAATCGGTATATAGTTGAAATGCATTTTTTCTTTGTTATTCTGATCTATTCCAGGGTATTACGTAAACAAGCAAGTGTGCTAAGAGTATTGTTATGATAAGCAATTGCGCTTCTTTTAAAATTGTGAATTTAATGGCCTCTGGTTTAAAAAACCAAACCAAATTCAATACTTTGAAACTTGTTACATGATACACAGGTGGCCTATATGGCCCGTCGGTCACTTGTTTTTATACTGGGGAGAAAACAAGCTTTTTAAAGAATGAATGCAAATCATTCCCCCTTCAATATTCCAAATGTTAGAATATACCCGAGAACTATTATAATTGACATGGGACGCCTCTAGTTATTACAATCTATGACATTTTTTTTAAATCTATGTTTTCAATTTTATGTCACAATGTAATGTTAATACTAGATGCTGTCATGAGACAGTAATACCCGCACTAAGGTATTTGCCTCTTAATACACGCTCCTACATATTGGGCGGTTTTCCAAGGAAAAAGTCAAAATAATTCTATAATTTACATGTATTCATCAAATTGAGTATGAAATTCTCAGACCCTGTGACCTATAACTCAGAACCTCTTATATTTATTTTACATGCTTAATTCATTATATACCAGCTTGAATTATTAATGATGTAAATTAGATTTTGATAAATGTTTTGCTCATAATAGGACCTTTTTAAATTTACTAATCCCCCCCCTCGACACCACAATCACACAGCACATACTTTTTGGAATAGGCTAGATGGAAAAGTTTTGTTAAAACATCGTTTGTTATGAATTAATTTAAAATTTGTTCTTGTACTATACATGTTAACATGTAAATTTCTACATCACATCACGTTGCGTCACCCAATATCATATTTTAGATTAAACACTATTTGGCACACCTCGGCCGATTCCCACTTCATCTGATAAGGTGACGGAATCGACGAAGGTTTGCCGAATGGAATTAGCACATGGCTGCAGTCTGGTGTGCATTGGATTAATTCATTTTGTGTTATAATTGGATTTATATTTCATGAAGTTGACGAGACCTATGGCAGTCGGTACAGTACCCGCATCGTTATTCTTTACAATTCTATCGTGTTCTATCGTGCGTGTATCCTATCGTATCGTGCGTGTATCCTATCGTATCGTGCGTGTATCCTATCGTATCCTATCGTATCGTGTTTTCCGTTTATCAGGTTTTGCGTTTTCTATCGTGTTTTCCGTTTATCGTGTTTTGCGTTTATCGTGTAGATCGTTTATCAGGTTCTATCGTGTATCGTGTTTTGCGTTTATCGTGTATATTCGGAAACCCTCGCTTTTTATCTTTACTATGTAAAGAAACTACTGAGCTATTCCGAGTTTCTTTTTCGTTTTGTTAATAGAAATAAGATTAATTCAACCGAAAAAGATAAAATAAAGATTTATCCCTTTCTTTTTCATCAATATAAGAAATATTAAAGCGTAGAAGGAAAAAAAAATAATTAATCGCGTATTTCATGAATGAATAAATTGATTTATTAATAAATAATTAATTAAATAAATAAAATATTTATATCATGGAAAAGCAGACAGTAATTGTCAAAATTTAAACAGTAACTCTATTTTTCGGAAATGAAATTATAAGTAGATCGATCAACTGGTCTATTTCTTTAAAAGATAATTTATCGAATTGTATGATTTATTTTGTCAAAATTAAATATTATTAATATGATTTTCCCAAATGAATTGGAGTTACCGGAGAAAGATTTTTGGTAAGATACGATGTTCGCGTAGACAAAAAGCAAATAAATAAATAATAAGCAGGATATTGAAATGTGTCTTTTTTCATGCAATATTCTGTTTTTCCTTGTTTATTGTCTGATAACGTTAGAAATATGTTTACGCGTCTGACCTGCATGTATGCACAATTATTTAAAGTCTTGATGT